GCCCCACAGTGTTTTTCTCTTGAATACCAATTCGTTGCTGTTGCCCCCCCCTGAAGCTGGAGAGCAAATAGTTCCCTGTGGCTGTCAGCCGTGAGCCAGTACAAGGCCCGCGTTATTCTTCTGCTCCTACTCGGTGATGGAGATGTGCACCAAGGGTCTGGGTGCACAGACAGGTGTCCTCAGGGTGAGTGTGTCTGTGCCCAGGCCTGCTTGTGCCCTACTGTCCTCATCCCTTTTTAGGAAGTGCCCAAACCAGGGATTTCTAGGTTGGCTCTTAACCGGGCCATTGGAATCTAAAAAAAAGACTCCCAACACAGCTCCAAGCAGTTGGGGAAACAGAGAAAACCCTTACCAGGCACCAAGTCATGCTGGCTCTATGTCCCTTCTTCCCGGCACCCACCCTGCTGGGAGCTATTCACTCACTCCCCACCACACCTCTGTAGTAAGTAGTTGCTCCCTTCATCCACACACCCATGTGGCAGGATATGAGTATGGGGTGGGCAGGCGTGTGGGGCTGGCTTAGGCAGGTACATGGTGGGGGGTGTGGGGGAGCATGCGGAGGGGGCAGGTCTGACACTAGCACTGGGGGCATCTTGGAAGTGTCAGGGTCCCTGAGGACCTGGGACAGGATCTGGGAGAGCTCTGTGGAGCTATGACCAGATGAACTGAAGGACTGGCTGGTGTGGATGTGGAGCAGATGGGTAGCCTCTAGCAATTCCATACTTAGAATTCTGTAGAATGAGACCGCAGCGGAGGAGGTGGGGTGTATGTTCAGGTCACACATGGGTCCCCTCAGGAGCTTCCTAAAGGAGTGTTCAGGGCCTGTCTTACCCTGCTCCTTCCCACAGATGAAGGGGGTCAACCTGTCGTGTGTGCGCACATGCATGGTGGTCGCTGAGGAGCGACCTCGGATCGCGCTGACACAGTCCTTCTCCAAGCTGTTCAAGGACCTGGGCCTGCCTGCACGTGCCGTGAGCACCACGTTCGGGTGCAGGGTCAATGTGGCCATCTGCCTCCAGGTAAGGTGGCTGGGCCGGGCACCCAAGACAGACAGTTTTTTAATCGTCGCTGTTCCTTGTTGTGCCGGCTACATCCATTTCTCATTCTCTGAGCCTTTAATGTTTCATTTCCAGTTTATCTTGGAAAGCTATGAGGGTTCTATTTTTAAAAGATATTCTCTTCACAAACAAGGCTTATTTGGAAAAAAATATTATTTTGAACAGTGACTATTTCTTATCTGGAAGAATCTCACTAAGTTGGATAAAATATGCATTTAATTTTTTAAAACAACAATACTGTTTTAAGACATCTAGTAATTTTAAATTGAAACATTATTGTGATCATTTGTATTACCTGTAATTCATATTTGAGACATTAAGGTATTTTACTTAAGGTATTTACATGAAGTTTCAGAAATTGAACAGCTAACTGCAGTGCTGTTTACTGCTTCTTCAGGTGACTCTGGTTATTTTCCAGATTTTGTACTAGTATCTCAATTTCACTCTTTCTAAATATATATGAAATGCCTGCATAGAAAAGACTTGTTAGATGGAAAGGCAGCATCAGAACCAGAGCAGGGCTCCGGGAGAGCTGTTTCTTGTTTCTGGAGCCTTGGCTCAGCTGGGCCCTCATCTCAGAGCACTCCTGTCATGGGCCAGCTGTGGACCATCATCCTTTCCCCCTTATGCTGATGTCCTCTCAACCGTGAGAAGACTCTGCTACCACTCCAAGCCTCAGACCCTTGCCATGTGGCAGGAGGAAGTGGGCTGGGTGCCCTCCTCATACCCCTCCTGTTGTAGAAAGTAGGACTGAGCGTCAGGCTCTTGGTGTGTAGTCAGCAGCTGTAAATGAAGGCATGTCCTCCTTACTCGATATTTGAAGGTTATCTCCTCTATCTGTTGGCATGTGGGATGCCATGTGTGATTGCAGAAGTCTTAATGAGATAATCACATTTGCTCTTTGAGATGCAGTGACGCATTTTGCTGTCTCTTATCGTGTGTTTCTCACGTGGCCTGTTGCTTTCTGTTTGTCTCCTGTGGCCGTCTCCTCCTGTCTCACTCTGCTGGCCTCCTTTGCCTCTGTCAGCCCAACAGGCTGGGAAAGCTGGCTGAGCAGGTACGACCTTGACCTCGAGGTACCTCTGTGCTTCCCCCATGAGTTCCTGTGGCCTTCTCCTCAACTTCAGACAGATACGTGTTTCTTTTGCTGTCTGACTTTGCTCACACTGAATATTATTTTACATATTATAAAAATGCCTCTGTAATAAAATTTAAGCAAAACTGTTTTTTAAAAAATTTAACATTCATAGCATTGCCTCTGGATAGACGGGCTGTTGAATCTCAATGAAGCAGTTTTCGTTACGTTGTCTGGGATCTTCAGAGAGTGATGTTGAGCAGAGTGTCCATTTAACTTGATGTTCCTTATCTAATAAAACAGAAAATAACATCCTTCAGTCAGGGTCCAAGTGTCAGAAGTGAGGAAAGGGAGAACAGCACTCTGTTGACCCTGATTGAGCCTCTGCTGTGCTCAGCCCTCAGTAGAATTAGGTCGGCTGGAGAGAGGCCAAGCCTGACCGATAGCTGGATGCAAATGCCCTCAAATCCTGTGATGGTGCTTTCACCATAACGTAGAGACCAGCTGTGAGAACTGAAATGTAAAATTGTACAGTTTGGCATGTTCATTCAGTGTCACTAGTGTTTCACTCGATGTTATCAAGCCATGTAATGTTTGGATGGAAGGCATCAGTGTCCCTGGGCAGGCTCTCTGCTGGAGCAGAGATGCTGCCTTCCGGCGGCAGCGGGAGGAGCTGTTAGGTGGCTGTGCCGTGTAGATGCAGACGTGCTGCTCTTCTTCCAGGGCACGGCTGGCCCGGACCCCACAACGGTCTACGTGGACATGAAGGCGCTGCGCCACGACAGGTAACGCCACTGGTGAAGTTGTGCAGCTGGGTCTGCCCTGACTGGGCCCTCCTGGCACCTGGACTAGCAGGTGGCTGGCTAAGCTCCACTGGGGAAACCTGGGTTTCCCTCTGCATCACTGTGTCCTCGAGACTCAGTCCATGTCCCTTTATCTGTTGTTCCTGTGATCGGGAAGGTGATAGGAGTGACCTAACATTTGCATTTAGCTTTTTATGGGGTTGAGGACAAGTAAAGCAACTAATGGCAAGGACTTTTTACCACAATACCATTTTAAGACAGGACTTAGTTTTTACATCAATAAACGTGTGCTGGGGGTCTGGGTCCCTCTCAGCTTTGAAGCTCTGATCCTGGTCTGAGCCCTCAAATGTGACCACGCTGCAGTTCAAGGTAGACAGATTACTGTGGACAGGGCAGCTGGTTGGGGACGGCCCCCAAAAAACTTAGAACAAGCTTCTGCCCTGAGCTGTGCCAGGTGAGCCAGGCAAGTCGAAGGCACCTGAAGTCACTGTTCCAAGGTTACAGTAGGTCATTGTCAACAGACTGACTGTCATAGTGATAATTTCTGATGATCTTATGAGTTGCCTTTTTAGAGGTCATTACCTATATAGTAAATTTTATTCTGAAAATTTTCCCTTGTTAATTTTTAGGGTACGTTTGGTAGAACGGGGTTCTCCGCACAGTCTGCCATTGACGGAGTCTGGAAAGGTAGTGGAAACTGCACTTCTCCTGATGAACACAGATGGCTGTGGTCAGGCTGGGCTGGGCTAACGCAGGAGGCCTCCTCCTCCCTGCAAACACACACAAGGACTAGGTTAAGTCTTAGTTCAACACACATCGAAAGCACAAAGCCAAGAAAGGAGGACTGCAAGTGCAGAAACACAGAAGGAACTCCCATTGCTGGGGCTCGAGGCCGTAGGGCCCCTTGGCTCAGGGCCCAGTGTCTTCACAGTCTTGGAGCAAGGGCCAGCACAGCTACCCAACTCAGGCCCTGGCCCAGGTGACAGCCAGGAAGTGGTTCCCTCCAGGGCCTTGGGTAGTGGGTGGAGTCCTAGACCCATCTTGCAATTTTCCATTGAAGCCAATCCAGAAGACTGGGAGCCCATAGAGGGGTTGGGAGGGATGGGATGGGAGGAGTGAGGCCATCTGAGGGTGCCCAGGTTAAAAATGTGAGCACCAGGAGATGGGTCAGCAGACAGAGACCCAGGGGAATAGGCATCCTCAGAACCAGGGGAGGTTTAAAGGAAGGAAGAAAGCCCACATGGTCCGATGACGCCATGTGATGAAGATGGTGTGCCATGGCCAGCAGACAGCAGGATAGTGGGCAGGGCTGTGTGCCCAGCATGGCCAGGAACAGGAAGCTCCCAATCCATGCAGCCTACAGGGCCACCTGACTGCTTACACACTCCTGTGGCTATAGATCCCTTTGGGGAGGCAGCAAGGTGCCTGGAGAGGAGCTCGTGTGCGTGTATTAGGGAAGAGGAGGAGCAGCCACAGGGACCCAGGGCAGTGGGCTCAGCTAGTCAAACATCCTGGGAGGGAGCATCATCACAGGGAGACTAGCATAGCTACAGTCGAGCTGGGGGAAGAGGAGGAGGTGCAAAGCTGTGGAAGCACACCTGCCATGTGCCTGCCTGTCTTTAGCATCACCTGGAGGAGACCAGCTGAGAGGTGAATATGGGCAATGACCTCCCCTTTCTGAGCACATTGCTGGAGCCCACGCTCAGTGGACAGCTTTGCTTATCCTTTTTGTATGCTCAGCATATTGCCCCTGTATTATTAAGTTTCAAATGAGTTATGCCTGAGGGATTTGTGTTCTGGAAAAAGCTCTGGCTTTAGGGTTCAGGTGGGCCCCCATGGAGAGAGGTCAGAGGCTCCAGCAGCATTCAGGAAAACAGGACTGTCCCACGGGTAGTGTGTGGCAAGGATGCAACAACAGTGGGAGGAGAAGAGGGTCTGGCACTGACCGTAGGCAACAGCCTAAACTCACGCCCTTCCTGTAACTGACCCCTCATCCCTTCCCACCTGCCTGGGGGACCTCAATGTCATCATCATTTTGTACGTGAGGAAACAGGACACAGAACAGGTGACCATGCCTGGAGCAGCCACAGGGTCTGACCTGAGCCCAGTGAAGTCTCCCCAGGACCAGGTGTGGGGGTTTCCCTGATTTGAGGCACCCTGCCCTGGAATGTTTTCCATGGCTCCTGAGTATGAGCTGGTGCCTCCGTCTGTCTGAGTCGACACAGAGCAGGTGACCAGTGGTTGGACTGACTCTGAGTCATTGGCAGGAAGGGTTCTTCAAGGTTAGAGTTCCAGCCCAGAACTAGGAGGCTTGATGAAACCCATGGACAGAGTCCTTGCATGGCGGGGCTGGGGCGCAGCTGAGTGGTGGGGCTGGGTGGCCTTCTGCACTTGTGTGCCCCACGAGAGGCAGGCAGTGCTCGAGTGGCCTGTTGAAAGATCCCAAGTAGAAAAGATGCTTATATAGACCCTCTCTGCCTCTCACAACATCCAAAATAAGGTCCATTCTTAGGAACTAGGGTCATTTTGTTAAGATTCACATATATTTTTATCAATTAAAGTCTTATTTCTGTTCATATTCAAATTTGGGTTGGCTTTAAATCTGATCACTTACATGTACACATTGTGTTGTTTGGATTAGCTTCCAAGGGCTGTTGGTTTTAATGTCATTGAGTCTGGAGTCTTGTGTTGTCTTTGACATGGGCACGGTTTTCCTTCCAGATCCTCCCTGGAGTGAAAGTCATCATCGCACACACTGAGACCAAAGGGCCCCTTGGAGACTCACACCTGGGAGAGGTGAGGCTGGGGGTTGGGTTCTGGAACCTCATGCACCTCAGGAGCTGCTCCTCCACCTCTTCCCATCTGCCAAGCTATTTGGTCCTTTCCCCCCCAGGCACATTTGTGCTCCTGTACCCAGTACTTGGGTAGGATTTCTTGGATCCATGGGATGAGTTCACAGGATAAGCAACACTGAAAATGCCCTGCCTTTTTGCAGTGTTTTAAGTTTTCTTGGCGAGTGGATGTCTCATGATAATCTGTGCTCAGCTCATTCTTGTCCTCTGGGCCCCACAGATCTGGGTTAGCAGCCCCCACAATGCCACAGGCTACTACACTGTCCATGGAGAGGAAGCACTTCATGCTGACCACTTCAGTGCCCGACTGAGCTTTGGAGACACCCAGACCATTTGGGCAAGGACTGGCTACTTGGGCTTTCTTCGGAGAACGGAGCTCACTGATGCCAGTGGAGGTGAGGGGTTACGGTGACCCCGTGTCAGCACTGTTGGGGGTGAGGAGCTCTGTCCACAGCCCACAGGGTCTGCTGCTGCAGCTTGTGAGCCTGACAGGCACGTGCAGCATCTCAGGGATTCCTGCTGACTCACCACACCCCTTGCAAGGAGCTTGTATCTTTGGGTGTGGGGTAAAGGATGAGCTCTGACAGTGGTGTTCTCTGAAAATTACTATTTTTCCCTTTGTGACCGTCCTCACTGTTCTTGGACCCTCGGCCTCTGCTGAATTTGTGGGGTTGTTGGTAATGCTGTCAAGTCCTCCCCCAGCCAGAGCCCTAGGCAGAGCCACCTGCATGTTTCACCAGCTGTGGGTAGCACCCTCCCCACACACGACCCGTCATAACTGCAAAGTCCTTAGGCCCCAGCAGGCCAGCCAAATCAAGTCAGAACTTTTGGTAGCCCCTGTAGATGCTGTTTTGTTTCCAGAAATAGTAAATATTATTTTTAAATATATATTCACACATTGACGTAATTCTTTGGAATCAAGGGCATGGACAGCACCTTTATCAGGCTCTGCTGCACGCCTCACCCATTTGGAAGCTTGGTTTTCAAGTGATGTTGGAATAGTGAGCTCCCTGTTCCAGAGAGCCCAACTCAGGTTGACACAGATGTGTGGAGGCCCAGATTGCACTGTGCCTTTCTGAGGTGTGCAAACTGTGCCCTTCATAGAGCGACATGACGCACTCTATGTGGTTGGGTCTCTGGATGAAACACTGGAGCTGAGAGGCATGCGGTACCACCCCATCGACATCGAGACATCTGTGATCCGAGCACACAGGAGCATCGCCGAGTGGTAAGAACCCAGAGGAGGGCAAGTCCCACCCAGGCCCTCATCTGGGGCAGAGCCAGGGACTGAGGGCCATCTGCCTGGTCACGTTTCCAGCAGACCCCGATTACAGGCACATGCTGGCAAAGCCTCCTCTCCCAGAGCTGGCCCTGGGCTCTCCAGACCTGCTCTAGGAAACACGCACCAGAGACCCCTTGTGCAGCCCTTTGGTTTTGCTTGGGCTTTCCTTTTTTCCTAGTCAGTTTTAAACCAAGCGTTTGACCCTGAATGAACAGGCAAAGTGTGAGTTCTCCACAGTTTTCCTGGTGTTTCTGCTTTTAATGTGAATTTTCTCATTTAAATGGTTGTGATTCATAATTTCTTCACTTTGTAGGGAGCTTGCATTGGGACAGGCTCAGCTTTCAACATCAAATAATGAATGCTTCTAATTTTTAGCAAGAACTTTCATTAGAATAGATAGTCCTAGACAGCACATTTAGCCTAGCCTTTCAGTTGTGAACGATGTTCAGCAGCAGCGCAGTGTCAATAAATATACTTGTATTTTTACTCTCCTCTGTTTGGCATCATTTCCCATGTATCTGTTGGTCCTCAGAAGCTGATGTCCATGCCATGTAATGCCATCTGTCTTCTCCCTGCAGTGCCGTGTTCACCTGGACCAACCTGCTGGTGGTGGTGGTGGAGCTGGATGGGCTGGAGCAGGACGCACTGGACCTAGTGGCCCTAGTGACAAATGTGGTGCTGGAGGAGCATCACCTGGTCGTCGGTGTGGTGGTCATTGTCGACCCAGGCGTGATCCCCATCAACTCTCGGGGTGAGAAGCAACGCATGCACTTGCGTGATGGCTTCCTGGCTGACCAGCTGGATCCAATCTATGTTGCCTACAACATGTGAGCACCTCTCACCAGCTTCAGAGTTCTGTCCAATGTGAGGCTTCCAGGGGTTGGAACCATGTGAAAGTGTTAGAACATGTGAAGACACTGCAGTGTGTCTATAGCCACCAGGACAAAGGACTGCAGTCATCATGGAATACTGCACCCCTTGCCCTACTTTTAGAGATTCGTCTCAAAGTTCCCCAAATCTTATTTGAGAAGCCACTTCCTGAATTATTTGAAGGAATATTTTAATCTTCAAGGACATTTACAAAAACATAAATGTCAGTATTTTAACAGTTAGGGTGACTGGGAAAGGAAATGAAAGGCCTGGCCATGGGTATCATGAGGAATTGCAGGTGTGCAATTTGTTCTCTACTGTATTGCAAGTTTGCACTTTTTAGACTAAAAATATAGTTCTTGATTTAAAAAATTCAATTATTTATTCCCACTTCAAATGACAAGTTTATATGTAGAATTTAAGCTAGTAAGGATTTGAGGCCCCAGTACAACTGATTCACAGGGAGGAACAGAGCCCAAAGAGGCTGATGGGAAGGGTAGCAAGACCTGCCCACTCCTCCTACCCTGGCTCTTGGGCCCCAAACCAGGCACTCTAGTTACAGGGTGCTTCCGCTCTCCCAGTTTATTGAAACAGGTGTGTCCGATTGTCTGCACACATTGTCACTAATGTTCAGTAAGTGCATTTGGGGCTGTCAAGGTAGATACTCTGTTTCGGAAAGATAAACCAGCATTTAGTTTTAAACCACTTTCCTAGGTTTGTAATTTAATGCTGTGTTTAGTTAAACACTTGTTTTCATAACGTCACAATATAAATTCTTCTCAATACATGGATGTGTACTGAGTTATTTTCATCCCAAATTAACAGATTTGGAAGCACTGATGACAGTGTCTGAGGTTTTCACATCCTCAGTGCAAGGTAAGGCTCTCAGACCTCTGGGGAGAGCCTTACCCCATGATGAAGGTGGGCCTGGTTACCCTTAACCTGGCTTTCACATTTTGAGTTGTATGCCTATTAAATTTGGCCAAACCATATTCAGTTATGACTAAACAGAGTGATATTACAGTAAAACTAAATCAAAGAGAATATAAAATCCTTTAGAAACTTATAAGAATTTAAAGTGAAGCTCAAATCTAAGACTTAGCGTATTTTTATATAGCTAATAAAGAGTATGTTATGAAGTTGTTGGGTTTTGGGGGGAACTGTGGATGGGAAAGTTTATGGATCATGCATGCTTCATAGTAACAACCAGGTTTTTCTGGAATTAGCCTGAATCAGTGCCTAACAAAGCTGTTATTAATTCTCTACCATTTAAAATTCTCCACCAAATAGGTCTGGCTAACTAGGCTAACTCTTACATTTTACTCTTATTTGGCTACCAATAGCAGGTGCATTGTAGCTCTGTTTGCCTGTTGTGGTGGACTGCAGTTAGTTATGTTCCAACATACTGGAATTGTAATATCTATTGTAATTATGTACATAATCTGTGTAACTTATTGTTTGACATACAGATAACAGATATTCCTTATAATAGAATGGCCGGCAGGGGAAAGAACTACCTAACCCTAATCTTAATGTTGTAGTTTTGTAGCAAATATTGTAAAATTTTTGTATTGAAAGGTCAGTGTCAGTAAAACAAGGTGTCTTGTAAATTAAGACTTTAAGAAGCACATTAAAATGTTTTAAGATTACTCTCTGGGAATTCTGTATATCACACTAAAATTTTTTATATCATAATGTTAATAAAAGTTATTGATTTTGTAATTCTGCATTTTGAAATGTGTGAAAAGGTTTTTTTAAATGATCCCAAATAGGATGGATTTTATTATGCATTACTTTTTTCTGAATATAAAAGCATTTATGCTTACAGCATAAAATCTACAAAGCACATTAAAGTGTAAAGAAGAAAATCTATAATCCTACCTCTGAGTAATATAGCAGCATTAGTATTTGACGTAAATCCTTTTGGGGATTTTTTTCCTTTTAAAATATTTTACAAAATTAGAATCATATACTTTTATAATCAGCTTTTGTACTTAATAAATTACAGACTTTTTAATGTTACATATATTCTTCTACATGTTTTAATGACTGTACAGGTGTGTCATGACTAAAGGTAGCTTTTGCTCAATTGCTGTTGTCCATCATAGTTCTTTCAACAGTGCTGCAGTGAACCTCCTCCCAGATGTGTGTGTGCACATCTGCAGTTACAATTCCTGCCTCAGGCTTCCTTCCCATAGGTGGAGTGGGGGTAAGAGTTCATGCCAGGCTTGAAGCTCTGGGTGCTCACTGCCCCGGTTTCCTGCATCCAGCTCTGTCTTTCAGAGTTTAATGAGGGAACCTATTTACATGAGTCTGTGAAATGTTTAGGAAGGACCTTGTGGAGTTTTCCAAGGGCAGTGCAAAGTGAGAAACTGAGAGCTTATTACTAATTCTAAGTGCCAATTAAGTATAGGGTGCCTTGTTCCCCAGACTCTCTAAGTCACTGAAAAGGCCAAATGAATGATCATTACAGATACTGCTTAAAAGCAGAAGTTGAAAAAGGACAATGAGGGACCAGATGAAGCTTTGAGGGGAGATGCATTGCCATTCCCAGCAACAGTAAGCTGGGCTTCCAGGTGGGTACACCCAGATGCTGCCATAGGCTGCAGATGGAGAGCAGGAGAATGAAGGCCCCCTATCAGCTGTTGTTGCATGCTGACAGAGTGCAGCACAAGTTCAAAGATGAACAGTGTTTAGCACTTACTTTACATTAAAAAGTAGGGAAAGATCAGCTTCTGGCATGACAGCCCGAGAAGCTCTGTGAACATGCTATTCAGAATAACAGGTGAAAATCACTGTTAAAAAACCAACCACTTAAGGCCTTTGGAAATGGTCCTAAGGGCATACAGCAAATGAAAAACATCTTTGCATGAAAGTTCAGTAAGAAAACCAAGAATCTGTTATCTGAACCAAGACTGATCTTGGGAGATCTCTTCCATCCAACCTCCACTCATGGAATGCAGCCTCTACCTTGGATGAAGTGTCACCGAATACAGGGGCTCTGACTGACCTTGTCCAGCTCATAAGTTGGTGGTGCCATGCCAGGAGATGCAGACTGAGAAGACCTCTGGCTACTGCCCCCCACTCCACTTTAGGAGTGTTCAGCTCCTAAAGCAGGGGTGTCACTCAGAGGTGCCTGGGTCTAGCAAGAGAGAAACAACTTATCACTTGCAAGGGAACTCCAGTAAATCGACAGCTGAATTCTTACCAGCAATAATGGAAGCCAGAAGGCAGGGGGATAACATACTCAAAGAACTCAAAGAAAAAAAAACACCTCAACTAAGACTTGTATATCCAGCAAAGCTATCTTTCAAAAGTGGAGGCATAATACATTCTCAGGTAAAAAGATTGGATTTGACCTACATTATCAGAAATACTAAAGTTCTTCAGGCTGAAAGCAAGTGATTTCAGATGGTAATTTCAATTCACATGAAAAAAAACAGTACTGGTAAAAAGGTAATTATAAGACTATATAAATTGTGATGTCCCTGCTCAGGGGTCCTCAAGATGGTGAGGTCTTCTTCCCTATCCAATGCCTTGCACAAAGTCTAATCAAGTGAGAGGGTGGGCACAATTCCTCTGTAAGGACCATATAGGCCAGTGGTCGGCAAACTGCAGCTCGCGAGCCACATGCGGCTCTTTGGCCCTTTGAGTATGGCCACGAAGTTTCAATCGCACTGTATGTGCGAGCCCGCACATGGTATTTTGTGGAAGAGCCACACTCAAGGGGCCGCAGTTTGCCGACCACTGATATAGGCAGACAGTTCTGCCTTACCAACCCAATGCTTCCTAACTTCCTGAGGATGAGAATAACCTGAGTTCTTGTTAAAACAGTCACCAGCCAGACACGGCCCCATCCCAGATCTGGGAGACCTGTCACTTGGGATATTTAACAGGCCCCCAGTAGAGTTTTGTGTGGAAGGAGCTGTGGGGCCCATGTGACTCAGGATTTCCTCCCCAGTGTCTATCCCCAACCCCTCAGAGGGGAAAATTTCAGGGGCAGTCTTCACTGTGTGAAAGGTTTCCAGGGACTGCATGTTCAATGTGGGGGTTGGGGTGAGGGGGTCATCAAGAGAGCCTGGGGGCACTGGGCTTTGTTCTTGAGGTTGCTGGCCTCAGCCTAGGCTCTACCCCATGTCCAGCCTGTGCCCAACCCTCCCTGCTTTGCCTCCTGCCAACTTGCTTGAATGATGTTTATTTTTCACACTCTTTTAAGAAGCTACTCCTTTTCTCATCAAACACAGAGGAAAAGGTTGTGCCAGAATCTCATCTGGCCAGATCGGCAATGATAAGAACCCAAGTTATGTCTGGGTCAGAGAAGGATGAAATCTCCAAAATTAAACATCGTATCAAGAAAATCTCAACACTATGCAACCAATAAGAAATTGCACATGTAAATTGGCTACTGAGGCTCATGTGATTGTCATCTAAACCCCTAATTTTAACCTTTTGTGTTCATCAAAACTTTTTTACTGAATTTGAATCTGATAAATTTGAACTAAAAATAAATAAAAACTCTGAAACAACAGCAATCAAACCCAGGAGCCTCATGGGACAGAGTTGTGGGTCTTCCCAGAACTTCCTGGGAAGAGTTGTCAAACTGTTTCCAGGGCCTCAGCTGGTGTGTGAGAGTTGAAGGGCCCCTCTTGCCTTGGAGACAAGGGTGGGGTCTTGCAGGGTAGAGCTGCAGGGGTGTCCTGCTGGGACATAAACTGCACAAGGAAGACACCCAGAGTAGCCCCAGGTGGCCTGGGAGAAAATGTACTTTCTTTGGTGGCTGTAGGAGACATGGTCTGCTTAGGACAGGACCAATCCTGTGGAGGTGATGATCTACAATTGTGCGTGAGGGCCAGCTGGTAGAGGCCCCTGGGAGACTCCAGGGCCAGAGAAGGTAAGGGGGACAGGTGGAGCCCTGGCCTGTCCAACCTCAATGTCCCTCCCCCCATTGTTCCCCAGGGGCAGGGACAGGGTGAACGAGGGAAAGAATGGCTCAGGAATCCAGGGCCTTCCTGAAGTCCCTGTGCCTGCTGGGAGCTCTCTGTGGAGACTCCAGGCCATGTGTTCCCCCTTCATGATAAAGAGATGAGGATGCCTCCTCCTCGTGGCGGAAAAGTCTGACAGCTGTGTTGCCCAGACTTG